AAATTTATTTTAATATATTCAAATAAATATTAATTAATTTTTATAATTAATAATTAATCAAACATCATTAATTATCTTTTAAAAAAATTATCGTTATTCAAAACAACATTTATCATTTTATATGTGACTTTTTTTAAAAAATAATTTATTATTAATCAAAATAATATAAAAATAATAATTGTAATTTTAACTAACAATTATTAGTTAGTTATAACGATTTATTTTAACTTAAAATAAAAATATGACCTCAATTAAATGTAAAAAAATAATAAAATTACATTTAAATTTTATTAAATAATTTAAACCTTTTTTAGTTATGCCAATAAAAGAAAAGGGTAGGGTTTGCATTTAAGAAGAGATTGTGAGGGATTAATTATAAAATAAACAATCTTAATACCCATTGATTTTGACTATCGTCACGAGGATCACATGCATTTATTAGGAGTAAATTGAAAACGTTAACAAATTGCTTAACAAGTACCGATTAAGATTATATTAAATTCCGTCAAGAATAAATTTTTGCGGTATTTAGAAGTCTATAAATAATGTTATATTCATACTATTATTTATTTATTAAATAAATAATTATCAGACATACAAAAAAAATTTAAAATAATAATTTTAATTTATTAACGATTTTTCATGAACAAGATCTGATTTAGAGTTATCTATTCATAATTTTATTTATAATTTTATGCATAATTTATTTTTTATATATATTTTATTTTTCATGCTAAATACAAAAGAAAAAACAAAAGTTTTCTCGCTCTGCCTTTTTTCTTTCCTCACGTTTTCTTTCCCTCTACTGTCTTCCCTTCCTACCAAGTATAGCATAAAGAGGTAAAGAAAGAAGCTTATTCAAAATATTTTAGCATTTTTTTATATATAATCTTCATTTTTATTTTTCATTAATGCTATAGATATTGCTTCATTAATACCTAAGCCATGTGTATTTGGTTATAAATTATGTCTTCTTATCGTCGTACAAATATGTGTACAACAGTGCAACGTGTAAATTTAAATCGAATCAAATTGAAAGAAGTTTAATTTTTTCAATTCGATTAGTTCATTATTCAATTATTTTAATTAAATATATTTATTTATAACTGTTTAATCGATTTGATTTTTGATTGAAAAAATTTTCAACCGAACTAACTGAGGTGGAAAATGTTCATATATACTTATATAAAAAGGGATAATTTTATTGGTTACACAAATATTTTTTCAAAGAAATTCTAACTTTTATTATAGCTAAGTTAAGGTGTGAAGAAATTATACTTAGAATCACGCTGATTTGAGCTAAAGCAAGTAAATCAAACATTATTTAATATCTAACATGTATTTAATTTTAGTGTATTTTTCATAAATTTGGTTTTCAGTAACTAAACCAAACTAATTAAAATACGTTAGTTTTCGATTTTTGGTTATCATTATTTTTGGGTTATCATTAAATGATTCGGTTTCAATTTTTTAAGAGAGAGTTCAAATTTTTAAATTAAAAAAATAATTTTAAAATAAAACAATAGAATTGAATTAACCATTTTAACAGTATGCTCATCTTTATGCAATAGCAAGGAGATGGCAGCAATTAGTTAGGATTAAGAGCTGGCATAAAAAGAAAAAACAAAAGTTTAAAATTTTCAATTTATGGAATTAGCACTTGAAAATGGATAGGAATTATATATTTAAACATTCTCATATGAACATTAATATTTATATAAATTTTTAATGAAAATGGACTATTTTTTCTTTTAAAAAAAATAAATGGACTATCTATTTCCATTTTACTATAAGAAATACTTACCTCAAAACTAAAATGCAATATAGAGAAATACCTTTAAGCATTAAATTTCATTCAAGCAATTAAAAATTTTAAATTGAAATTTTAAGTTCCATTTTAAAGAAATGGTGGATTTTGTAAACTTAAAGCGGATTTCTAATTCTCATAGCTTTTATTATATTGAAAAAAGATTATTTGATCATGTTATTATATCAAATAAGTTTTTATAGCTAACCATTGACTATTTATTATTAATTAAAACATAATTTATCTTTTTTATTCTCACACCTTAATCATAAGGGCTATAAAGGCTTCATCTAATTTATATAGAGATTGTCATTAATTAAAACGTAATTTATCTTTTTTATTCTCACACCTTAATCATAAGCGCTATAAAGGCTTGATCTTGTTAATCTTTTGTAAAATTTAAATAGAGACCTTGTTAATAGTAAATAAAATTTAAATAGACTTAGGTGAGAAAAGAAAGAGAAAGTATCCGACCTGCCGGATTCGAACCAGCGACCTAAGGATGACAGCATGTAACAACTACAGTCCTCCGCTCTACCAACTGAGCTAAGGTCGGATTATGAAATTTTGTTTTCTCAAAACCTATAAAATTATGATCAAACTGTATTTAAAATCTAAAATTTCGTTCCCTCGTGATGAATTTTATCACTTTGCCATCCCAACTCTGGTTCTGCCTCCCCTGTTTATTAAAGGACCGAGAAGAAATCAACAGAGATTGCTTGTTGCTTCCAGAACCTCTCCCGTCCGCGTCACTCCAGTCTCTGTTTTCAGGTAACAAGGCAGAATATAATTTCTTCCAATCTTTCTCGAAGGAGTCAATGCTTCGAGAAATGAGATCATGATATTTGATCTCCAATCTTTCTCTTTTCCTTTTGAGTGATCAGCTGTCAAGGCTCCAAAAATGGACTGATAGTTGGATGAACCTCAGTTCTTGAGCATGTCTCACACCACATCATGCTAACCATTTTGATCTTAGTTTATTGCTAATTATTGAATCAACATTTTGCCCTCATTCCTAAAGGGAAAATAAGTGTGGATGATGAAGAAGATGAGGAGAGAGGTACAGCTTCGCCAAACAAAAAGGAAACACGTGTCTCATCTGTTCTTCAATTTCTTCTTTTATTTTGTTCGTCTTTGTTATATTTACATGCATTTCTTCCTTTCAATCGTCTGTGTTTTTTAGAATGAATCAATTGTAAGTGCAAAAATCAACTCTCAAGCTAAAGGACATGATATTTATAAGGCTGAGGTTAAGGAAGGATTATGTTGTGATGAGTGCAATGATGAGTTCGATGAAGAGTGGATTCCCATACACAATGATCCTATTGTTGTGGATGAGGTTCCAGGTGAGGGTGATGCTACTTCCTTTGGAGCAAAAGATGTATCGACCATGGGTTTTCATGTTCAAATTGATTGCAATGATTTTTTTCCCTTCTGATCTTCAGACAAAGAGTAGTGTATATGAAGTTATTTATTGATTCAGTACTGATTTGTTATTTATTGTTCATTAATGTGTATATTCCAAGATTACAAAAGTGGGAAAAACAAATGACCAGAAGCTAAGAAGCCAAGGGACTGTTGCTCGTTCTCATGGCAATGGTCAAAACCTGGCCTTTTTGTTCAAAGTAGTGAGAACCCATTTGGAGCTCGCTTTTTGGAGTTAGAAGAAAACGGGGATTTCGAGGTTACAAACTTGAACACCAACAACACAGGACTACTTTTATGGAGTTGAGAAGATGTGTCAGTATTCTGTGAGCCACTTCGGAAGGTTCTGTACGTTGCAAACCCCATTATCATGGATGCGTGAAGTTCTTGTTTGCCTTGGTCCTGATAAACTATACTGCTGTCATGGAATAGCAGGTCTCCCTAGCGAAGGAGGACCGAAATTAGTTTGATGACGAATCGATTTCTTGGTACTGTTCTCATGTAATGGGCTAGCCTTCCATGGCCTGCCAACGGGAGTTTCCATCTGAGCTTGGCAACCATGGGTCACACCGGGCCTTTCTCATGCTGTGCAAATTCACGGGCCGTAACACTGCATAGACAATTCATGGAGAAAACTGGGCTCAGTTTTTGGAAGTTCATAATCTATGTTTATCAGACTCATTTTCCTTATTGGTCAGCATCAAATGTTCATCCACTAACATCTTGTGAAGTTATCGTCACTGATTTAGCTAATGAATTGTTATGAGGACGGATTCATTGCTTGTGTAGACCAAAAATGGATCTTTAAGGCAGTCGTTGAAGGCACAATAAGTGAACTGTATTCTGCATATAAATTTTTATAGACGACCAAGTTGTTGTTTTGATTTCAACAGAGTTCAACGAGTAAATTGAAACAGTTGGGTTCAGAAGAGATATTCCTAATAAAATTGAATACAAATATCTCATTGAAACATTTGGTACGTATGCCAGAGATGCTTCCTTGTAATACGAAACATTTGGTTTCACAAGAGCTTCCTAACATGAGGCATGAGGCATTGAACATGGACTCTGAAGGCATTTAGTCAACTGCAACAGGTTGCATGTTTTCAGCTTCTTTCCTTAGTTCTTGGAACAGGACCGAGGACAAGTACCGCTCCCCAAAACTTGGATGAACAGTCCGTTTTTCATAAAAAAACAAAAAGAACATCGAATTAGAATCACCATTGATATTGCATTACACAAAATGAAAGAAAAATTCAATATACTCTGAAAAGTATAGCCTTCTATTATCAAACATAGAATCACCCAAACCAATAGATCAATTGCTATTCAGAACATGTTTACGCTACTCAAATTTTACATTGTCTAAAGATCTCACATATGTCATAAAAAGAACAATACCGTAATATAATTTATGCTCTCGTGCTAAAAAACTTGTAATTATATACTCTTCATGGGAAATTGAGGAGAAGTGCTTACCACAATCAATTTGCCTTTGTTCTCAGGCATTCTTGCAAGTTTTAGTGCTGCAACAGTGTTGGCCCCAGATGATATCCCAACCTACATACCACAAAGCATTGGCAGATCTTAGTTATAGAGCATTAAAGCCTCATAGTCACAGTCCATTCATGCCTTTTCACGATGAAGAAGTGCACACATAAGAGAGAAAAGAAGATAGGAAATCTACCCAGAGCAGAAACAATAATAGGTTTCTTGGTGTCTTCCATCATGATTAATGATTTCCAAAAGAAATTGGGGGTTTTCAGTTGTATATAACAGAGGAATGAGGATGAAAGAATTATCTAGTCAGACAGGTGTCAACAAAATTTCACCTAAAGCACCAGTCTAAGAGCTTGCAAATGTCGAACCCAAAAGTCTGGTACTTATATTGCAATTTTAAAAGGATTCTGAAAGACAGTCATATTCCTAGATACCAACAAATAGTACTAAATAGTAACCAAAATGAAAAAGCTCATAAGTGAAAGAACTTGGCTAAACACAAATAAGTTCTGGTTAGCTTAAGTGAAATTGTGAACAAGAACGAAATATTTTGACGTATGTAAGGAAGCTATTGACAAGAAAGAACTGAAACATGATTAGGATTATTACCATAAGCCCCTCTTTCAATGCCAATTCCCTTGCCATATTTACTGCATCTTCACTGCTGATCTGTCAATAATATCCCAACATAAGCACCAACGAACCAGATATCCAGCACAAGATACCAGATTCTTATTCTCTTCCCCTTTCTCTAAAATATTTTCCTGACACTAAAACCGTAAATAGGGCATTGTTTACCTCAAGAACTTTTTCCATTACATCCATGTCCAGAATATCCGGCTTGAACCCAACTCCATTGCCAGTAATATGATGAGGACCTGTTGCAATTGATAATATCAGAGACTGCAAGGGAGTTTATATAAAATGAAATCATTATCTTTACTGTCCTGTTTTCCTGGTAATTCTCTGTTTTTATCTGGCTGCTGAGTTAATTAAAAAAAACCAACTAAGAAACCAGTAACTAATTATAAGCACTTGCCATTGCTCCAACTTAAACAATTCCGAAGCTTCAAATATTGTTCTAGTTAATTATTGCTTTCATCCTTGCATACAGAGAAGTTACCTGAAGGAAAACAACATAGAAGTAAGATCAGCACAAAGTTTACCTGGTTTGCCACCATTCAATACATTACTTTCTGCAGGCTCCACTCCATAAATCTATCATTAAAAAAGCAATCAAACATCAGCAATGAAATGAAGCAATATAAAAGCATACTCTTGTCCTGTTGTTACAAGGAGTGAACTTGGGAAGAAATAATTAGTTACCTTTACATTAGGATTCTGGGATTTGAGGTACTGTCCGACACCAGAAACAGTACCACCACTCCCTATTCCCATTACAAAGATGTCAACTTTACCGAGAGTATCCTCCCAGATCTCAGGGCCTGTAGTTTCAAAATGCACCTGTTTTTCCAGTTTGAAATAACTCAAATAAGTCATTTAATCTACATTTGGACAGCAAGAGGTTGAGGACATATTCAATGAAGATTTCATTGTCAATTCAAAACTATACATATGTATGTATAACATAGTGATAAAATATTAGCAAAAGCAAGGTTTAGAGATCTAACCCAAGTATAATTGTTAACATGTCAATAAAGCAGAATTAAATAATGATGTAAGACTGCACCTGAGTGTTGGCTGGATTTGAGAACTGTTGCAACATGAAAGCATTTGGTGTAGACTCCAAAAGGTCATAAGCCTTCTTCACCGTCCCTCCCATCCCCTTGGTGGGATCAGTGAGTATTAAATCAGCTCCAAATGCTCTCATGGTCACTCTTCTCTCCAAGCTTGTGTAAGAAGGCATGGTTAGAACCATCTTATAACCTTTCATGGCTGCCATAAATGCCATACTTATCCCCATGTTACCGGATGTGGGCTCTATCAGAGTTGTCTAAACATATGGTTGATAAATAAGTTAATTCAACACCAAATCAGAATCATATAGCATTTCACAGTTTGCATCAACAATTCAGAAAAGCCATTTAGCCGACCTTTCCTGGAGCAATTAAGTTTTTCTTTTCTGCATCTGCGATCATGGCCATTGCTGGTCTGGTGAAATAGAAGTGTCTAATTAATTTCCTTTTGGCCTATATCAAATAGTCTACATCTCTAAAACTTTAATAAATTTTAAAAGTTACGAATTCCATGGAGGGCTCTGAAGTAAGTAATACCTGTCTTTGATGCTAGCAGTGGGTTGCATCATCTCTTGCTTCACAGCAATATATGCTCCACAGCCTTCAGTTACTTTATTAAGAAAAACAAGGGGTGTTCTTCCAATTAGCTGAAAATATGAAGAATTAAATTATTAAAAAAAAGGATAATCCTTTCATTGATGGAACAGGCTCACGAGTTATGACAGTCCCCATACTGATTAAAGAACATGGCCTAAGCACAATTTTAAAATAATCACCATTAGACCCATCTTATCATTTACTTTTTCAGCTTTTCCTCCTTCTTTAGAAAGCCTAATTAGCATATTATGGTGGGTTTTGACAGTTAAGCATGGCTTAGCCCATCCTTAAAACTTCCTTTTCCACCTGCAAGCTCACTTGATTAAAATGTCTTCACCAAGCAAAAACCAACAAATACGCTATACGAGGAATTATTTTCAGCTGAAAGACAATTCAATGAAGTAAACAAAATACAGAGGATCTATAAGTGGCACTTCCTGAATGGCGGAAAGTAATAAAAGGATCAGTTTTAAAGATAAAAGAAAAAGGAAGTTTCCTTTTTTAAGAATAGAACAACTCTTAATAGGCTGAGAAGCACTGGAAGAGAAGAACACAACAAAATGGAAAACTGAAAAGAGAAGAAGATTTTGCATAAAAGAGATTGAAAACAACCAAAATCAAGTATGTAAGAACATTCTCAGATTATGGAAATTATGTTAATCTTGAATGATAAACTACTTTCGAAAAGCTGAAAAGAAATCAATAGAATAATGGCCAAGAATATAGTACAGTAGTATAATACCAAAAGATATGAGAAAAATTCAATGGGAGCTAAAGGGGATGAGAGAGAGATTACCTGGGAAACTTCCCTCTTGATTTTAGTACCAGGAAGATCCTTGGGGAGATCTCTGAGTCTTTGAGCAAAAGAAGGAGAATCAATGGTGGGTTCTGTGGAGACCAGCCTCCTTGCCATCATGAGCTCGTTGCATGTTAAAGATCTTTTCTTGACGAAGCTCCTTAGAGCAGCCATTAATGGAGGTTTCAAAAGACTTTGCTACACTTCCACAGTGAAAACACAGACAGAAACTGATCTTTGGGAGAAGAGTGGATGGCAAAGTCTTTTTTAAAATGCTGAAATGGTCTAAAGACAGACCACTTTTTATACAGACTTTCAAGACATAAGGTTGAAACATGCACCTGTTACTCACAGTTACAGTTACTGCTTGAAGTTATTAATATTGACCAGTAAGAAATTTCTTCTTGGTACATTGGTATGCGAAAATTTTATTCATGATTTTAATACCAGTGATATCTTTCTGAAATTTTATATATTAAGATTAAAATTGCTCATAATTCAAGAACTATAAAATAAAAGAACAATTACAAAAAGGAGAAGAATTTTGGCACACCAATGTCTAGGTGCAATGATTCTGATACCAAATAGAAACTGAAAAATGATCACATGGGCCGCTCAACTGAGGCAAGAGTTGGTTTTGCAGATGACCAAGTTGAAGACAACTTCCTTTACTTTTCTTTGAACAATATTTAACACATTTCCTACAACTACTTCCAAACTGGGTTTACCCAAAATGCCTTCTCTTGTTAAAAATGGCGATGGCTTTTTGTTAAGTAGGACAAAATCATGAGCTGGCTGGCAGGCATAAAAGGAAAACAATGCAGAAATTGTGCATGCAGTCATGGAATGACAGGTGAGTCTGTATGATCCAATGATGCCAAAAAGGTGTTCAGGAAAGAAAAAAACGATAATCAGATTGTGCGGATTCTAGTAAATGGGGTATTGGCTTTCCTTGGTTAAGACATGGATGTACAGGAGTGGGTGGACTGGTGGCTCTATTGGCTCTGGCTGATGCGCGGGAGTTGGCTCTTGGCGGCAGACAAAACTCAGAACTTTAAAGCGGAACTGTGAATTTGTGATGGAAACCTGATGGAATTATGGACCTACCAACCCGCCACCTGCAACTAGCACACAAGCCCACAAAGACTGATACTTAAACCAAATTTAGAAAATTTGGCTGGTTGATTCACTTTCAAATATATAAAATACAATCCTTTTTCACCACCTGTTACTGTCACGGGTCATTTTCTCTTCCACAAAGCTAATTTATTAAAAATAAAATATTCATTTTTATAAGTTAAAATTTTATTTTTTATTATATGATATGACATTTTGTAATTTTTTTATTTAAATTTATAATGTCTTCGTTACAGGTCAAGTTGCTTTGCATACTCTACTTATTAAAGTACTTGGCAAGACATTGAAATCGAGTTTAAATTTTTAAAGTATTCATATTTATAAATTCAAAATTCCTTCTTTACCTACCTATGATGAGATTTGGTAACAATCACACATGCACGACCAATCATAAATTTATAAAAATTTTATTGATATCATACCTCAAATCGTTTTTGAATTCGGATAAAATGTCCACAAATCTTATTACCATGTCAGAAACTTGGAACTAAGGTTCGTGTCAGACCATCTCTTTCCCAGCATGGAAACCAATAAATATTTAAAGAGTAATTAAAGATTCTTTAGTATGCCATTCCAAGGAGGACTATGAGGAAGGACTATAATCCCCACCCTATCCGTTCTTGTAGCCTAGTGTAGATGCCGTTGTAGCACCATTCAATGGTCCACAAAATTCAAAGCAACGTTTCTCAGTTAATAGGATGAAAATGCCTTTGTCAAGTAGAGGACATTGCTGTGTACTCAAAGTAGTGGTGCCAGATGGAGCAAGCATCCTATTTTTCTGTGGTACAAATTAAGTATCCAATCTATTTTTCCCAAAAAAAAACGACACCATTTAATGCCCAATTGCCATCACCTCACGAAAGCTAGCTTGTTTAGTCACTTTACCAAAATTTTTCAAAGAAAGGCTGAAAAAGACTAGTATTAGAATAACAAAATAGCTGGACGATATGAAGCAATTTTTATGCTCATCCAAGGTTCTTTGTATATTATTATTATTATTATTATTATTATTATATAAGGCTATTAAGTAAGATTCATTGAATTAATCAACTTATCTTTTTAGACTTCAAATAGGTCTGCTCAGAAAGATGCTTACCTTTTGTTAGGATTACGTCTAAATCATGTGTCAAAGTTCAACAAACAGAAAAGTTTAAAAAATTTTACTTATTTTCAGATCCAAAATTTTACATGAAAAACAATTAAAAAACAATTATATAAATTTATTAATTTATATATCTTAAATTTTATATAAATAATAAAAAAAAAATAAAAAGTGACTATAGTTACCATCAACCACCACCTTGACTTTTATCACTGCTTCGGGATAAGAAAGACCCTTGATTTACTACTTATCTGTTTGGTCAATGACCTGGTTCACTCAAGCAAATATGACTAATAACTTGGGTGGTCCACCCAAGAATTGAAATTTCATCTATCTTTCACTCCATTTATAACGCGACTTGGTTATTTTATTTTATTTAATTAAATTTTTATAATTTTATATTAAATCAAATAAAATTTTATAATTAATAATTAATTAATTATTATTAATTAAAATATTATTTATTATTTTATATTCACATGATATTGATATAAGATTGATATGAAGAGTAAAAAAAAATCGTACGATTATATTATCATATCATTTTGTTATTAATTATGATATATTATCATCTTACTTTTTTATCAATTATGATATGTTATTACATTACATCTTTATTAATTGTAATATATGTTAGCATAAAATGTTAATATCATACTGTATAGAATAATTAAAAAAATATTTTAATTTAAAATAAAAATATAAAAATTTATTTTATTAAAAATAAAAATACAAAATCTTGATTCAATATAATAAAAATATAAAAATTTATTTAAAATTTGTAAGGTATTATTCCTTTCTTCTATTAAAGAGACATGATGTGCTTGTTGTTGTCTTCTTTGATGCGTCACGAAGTCATCATCTCAAAGATTAATTTGACTATCTGACGAAATATATAAGGTTTATATTATATAAGTTTTTTAATATTTTTTTATTTATTTGACGTGAAATTAAATCACTTTGGGGTTAAAGTAACACCTGTCATTCTGCAGTGGGTAACGTAGTAAATAAAGCTTCCAAAATTTAACTCACAGCCTACTACATTTCACAAGCCCATATATCGCTGACCCGCGGCCTTTTTTCCGTTGCTTGAGAGTTGAGACTGCCCATTATCTAGACCTTTGGGCGCTTGGTTGGGCCTCTCTCCATCTCTAGTCTTCGTACCTGAACGATTTGGGAACCCATCAAAAGATCAGGAATTAATTAGCTTAATAGCCTTCTTTATGGAGAAAGAATTAACAATATTACATGTCATTACCACTCAAAGATTGACAGAAACCACCTCGAAAAAAGAGTTCCACTGACAACGAATTGAGTTCTTTCTACACAGGATTGGCCTGTTAATGTAACTATATAAGAATCTCTTACCATATCATATTACGCTGCAAATACTATATATAAGTATATATCCGAAGCCGCTCCAACGTTTTTATAATCAACACAGTAAACAGGAGAAAAAAACTAAAGCATGAAGAATTATTCCTCTTTTCTCCTCCTCCTCCTCATAATTTTGCCGCTAGTTCTCTACCCAGTTGGAGTCGAGGGAGGCAAGCGAAGGATTCACATTACCGATGATCTCGATGACGTTGTTGACGACGAAGAAGATGAGTCCTGGAAAGAGTGGGGTAAGAAGAAAACCGCTCCAGAATTCGATCCCCCACCTTCTGATTTCGATAAGATGGAGTTTTCCCAGATTCAGGAGGAACTCATGAAACGCCACATAGGTCCTGCTTTCGGGTTCGTTAAGCTCCGTTTGGGGATTCGACGGGATCAGGTAATTACATGATTCTTTATGTTCACAAACGGAGCTGGATCTGTTTGTGTTTGATGATTGGTAATGGTAAAATGGGAATTGTGGGTTTCAGGACAAGGTAGCTGAAATTGCTATGAAATGGACCAAACTTTTGAGAACAGGAGCCCTTGGAGTGAAATTCATGGGAATTGATATGAGCACAATCATGTTCAACATGGAAGATGGCCAGAAAATCTTAGAGGTACAACACTATCTGCAGCTTTCAATGTCTTTTTTTTCAGTCATGGCAACATTGCGTTAAACCATCTGATGTTTATGACAACATTGCCTTAAAACTATCTGATGTTTACTGTCTTCCTAATTACAGTTGAAGGAGTTCTTACTGAGCCAGGACGAGGCTTATGAAATCAAGATAGGGGATCAAGTTTTTAGAAGAACAGGGGATCCGCCGCTAGACGAGGTCATAGAACAACTTCGCCAATCAAAGAAAAACGAAGAGGTTGATGAGCATGTGAAAGAAGAGCTGTGATTGGCTGGAATTCTCCTGACTTTGTTACATCAAAGATTATTTTAATTGCAGCATTAGCATCTCACACATTGACTTTGTAATAATATTAAAGTCTGGCTATATCTCTTATCATCAAATCTAATTCTTGCCACATCATCTTACCTTGAATAGACCAAAATATCACTTTATGCATGATTATTCTCTTAAATAAGTTCCAGAGCTCCACAAAAGAGGAGATGGAAAATTTATTTTAATTAAATCATCTTTTATACTTGTAGTGTCAATCGGCACTGATAAATCAATTGTTTATCTAATATTGGAGAAAAAAACAGAAGGGTGATGCCATTGACTATTTCAGCTTCTTACTGAAGTCAGAGAGCTGGAGTAGCTGAATTCTGGGAATGCTAGCTGCTTCTTCTCTCTCTTTTTGAGTGTTATATCCCCAGTCCCCTGTTCAAATTATCAATCTTAGCAACCAACCAAAACATACAATGCCTTGGAAAAGAAACACAATTGAAATCACGAACGGGTAAAATATAAACTATAACTGGGAAATTATAATTATAATGACAAGAATACCTAGATACAAGTTCCATCCATCTAATTCTGGCTCTTTGATGACATTCTTCAGGGTCGCAAGTCGATCTTCCACAAAGCTAGTAAAATGAGAGTTGAACTATTTTCAGTAATTTTAGATCAAATAGGCAGGAAAGATGAAGAGGTAAAATACAGCAACTAATCACTCTGTAATGGAAATGTTGATATCATTAAAATCAGGATAAACTGATGACCAGTTGAAAGCAATGAGCATACTGTAGTTTCATCCCCTGGTGCTCTGGTCTCAGTTGCAGTTGCTTCAGAACTTTCACTTTGGGCCTGATAAAATATTCAAAGACCCTCATCATGGCAAGCAAAGCAGGAGCAAAAATTTGAAGAGAGCACTGTTGCTCTCCTCAATATTAATCAGATAACACTAACCCAGTTCCCAAGCCATATATCCTTTCAGGGGGGATAGTTACTCCTGCAAGCTCTCGTAATAAAGCATCCGCAAACCGGCCCTGAAATGAAGCAGAAAGAAAAAGGAGATTGGGTCAAGCTACAAATATATCCACAACCTTTGCCTCTTCTTATTAGCAAAATTTCCTTTCTTTTTCTCGTGTGTGTTTGTGTGAGAAAGATGGAGCGAGGGGAGTGGGGGACAATGAGAGGAAAAGAAACTCACTGCACCTGTTTTGTGGTGACTATATATACAGTTGAGCTTGCAAATTTAAGGGCATCAGGAACACCGGGATAAAACCTGCAGGATGCATCTTCTATTAATAACTGAGGGTCAACTCGATGTTTTATGCCAAAAATATATATTCTTAAAGTATGTAAAGCAACTGGTTTAACATTTGTTATTACTAGTTAGGCTATCTTTTGCTTTACATTTGAGCCATCACTTTATGAATTTGGTCTGTTAACAATTTTGATATACCTATTCGCATCAATTACTTTAGGTTTCATTGATCATGCCTCTAATAGAAATGTTACACATATGCTCCAACTTAACAAGCTTGATCAATATACCTATTTGCACCAATCCAAGTAGCCAAGTCCTTGTCCATCCATTCATCCCTAACCTTTCCAAAAAGATCAATTAAAGCATCCCTGTTTTCATTCCATTCTTCCATGATTACTGGCTTTAGTTTTGACCAGTTTTCTAATATTCCTTCTACGGTTAGTCCCTCTGCGACCTTCCAAATTGAACCACAGATTTTAGGTCCAGACAAATATTATAGAAAGAAATCTAATTTAAAATAAAGCAAGCTAACAAGAGTGGATCTTAGATACTCCATTTCCAAAAGATAGCTTCAAGCCAGAGTCATGGGCATATATATAGACCCACCGAAGATTTCCGAATAGAAGGTACTCTCATCTCCACCAACAACCTCACAAGTAGTACATTCTCATACCCAGTTTCAACCACAGGTCGCACCTGCCACGTTAGAAGGCATTAGTTTCAACATAGCTTTCTTCAATAAATTCCAATTTTTAACACAAGCATAAACTATCACCCCAAAAATGAAAAGCAATTCTTTTTAAGTTACGTTCATCTGTACTCTTCTCAGTTTAAGTGGATTCAGCAGTTGTTGACCTGTAAGATGAGGTGCAAAAAGATAACTTCTCTTAAACTTGATAACCTTTGAATTTTTCCTTTCTTTCTGAGATGTGATGCTTCTGTTCAAATATGCAGCTTACCATGTCAAATTAAGGCTACTTATTTCTGTGTGGAATTGCTTGCACAAGGCTTCATACAAGGACAATGTGACACGTTATGTGGAAATAAACCTTCCACAAAATTCCAAAGAATTTTAATGACTTGATAAGAAAGTGACTAGCACCTTCTAACCCGATAAGCACTAAGCAACAAACAATCAGCCATGCCATTATACCAACCATTCAAAGGAGGTGAAGCATTCAGATTGGCTATAGCACCTGTCAGGCTTCCAATATAGAGTTAAATATTTGGCTTTCCATGCTGATATTTTACTACATTTCCACAATGTTTAATCCATGTGGAGTAAATATATCCCAATCAAAATTCCAATGCAGTCCCGACCAATGTGAAACAAAATTGTGAAAAACCTTAGAAATTAGAATAAACAATCATGGCCAAGTTTCAATTCAGTCTTTAATAATGATGAATGTTGCATTCTATTTTATGGGTATTGCCATGTTAATTTAGAGTTCAATTGCAATTTCTTCGAGAATCCAGAATAACCAAAGTTGAAACCAGATTACTTTAATGACAATTGGCAAGCGTCGTCCATACAACTAATGAGAGCAAAATCAAGAGCTTACTGTGTGCATCTGATCAACAATCCAATCTTCCATGACCGAATCCACACCATCAAATAAACCCGGCCACCTCACTTTGGCAGCCTGCAAGTATGCAAGATAAGGAAAAATTAGTGAACAATTAGATAAATTTAATACGTAATTTGTTCTCGAAAACTGGGAACGGCTCGAATGGGTTGATGGTGTAATGTTTTTCAATACATTTCTGAAATTTCATCCAACAAAACCAATAGAGAATAGAGCTGACCTTGACGGCAGAGAGGGAGCTCTCTCCACAACTATCGCAGAGAACTCCATCGAAGTCCAGAGCGTATAAATCTCCCATTGCTTTTTCCTCCTCTTTCTCGCGCTTTCTTGCGGGGATTCTGGAGATAATCTACATGGGTATTCCTTTTTGCGCCCGCCACTCATCTCCTGTATATACTTCCTTTGGAAAAACGACACGATGCGCGTGTTGCTTCCCGTCCAACTACAATAGCCACGTGTCAATTGTTGGTGTTACTTCTTTTTCTCATTTTTCTTTTTTTTTTCCCAAAAAAATGAGTTTTATTTTCAAATTAAGATTTATTTTCTTTCTCTCATTAATCTTAAAAATATAAAAATAAAAAAAATTTGTCAATCGGTCACTACAAAATAAAATTTACCAACATCCAAAAGTTTTATACACTTTAATATCGTATTAAATTTATGTTTTTTTCCCGTTAAATATTTTAAAAAACAGTAAGCATCAATATATAATATAACACATAAAAGTAACAAAAATATATTACATATCAAATAATTGGGAGTGTTTGTATTTTTTTTTTTTTGGTTTACCAGAACGAGCATTTGATTTAAAATGGAAAATAAAAAAGCCGTTATTACAAATATACACTTACTATAAAAGGAGTTATTTCAAACATGATTGGATTTGTTGTGAATTAAAAGGAAGAGAATTCATTTGTATTTAATTTCTAGATCGAGTCATTTCAAGATTTTAATGTAATATGCTAAAAACATAGTTAAATCGTCTATAATTGATATATTTCTTATTCTGCCAAAAAAAAACTCTTATTATTTTTTTATGATTTTGTTTCTAAATTGGCCTAATCATACGCCTTTTTCTTTATTGTTTTTTTTTACAAGTCTTTATTTTTCTCAAACTCTTGAAATTGCCACTCCATAGCATGATAAGCAGGAAAATATTTAGAAGATACATACTAGTTAAAATGGCATTTAAGGAATAAATTTTATAATAAATATAGATTTTAAATTTGATAAAAAGCAAAGTAATTAATATAAAATTTTTTTACAAAATAATATTTTAATTATTATTATGTAATATTTAAAAACAAAACTTTACAAATATTTTATTCTTCTTGCTCCTGTTGCGTAATAAGGAGGAATCAGAACAATGTTAGTAAACAAACAAGTCAATCAAGAATATGGGTGGGGTATCTCCTGCCTCATCAGACAGTAGTCAAAATCTATTGGTGTTGCATCATTTCCAAATGCATTGCCTACGGCCCTACAGTCCTAAGAGTCCCTCGTTCCTGTGTTGTTATCACATTGTTTTATAAAGCCGGTGGAAAAGAAGGAAAAAGAAGCATGCAGTCATGCTTTAAATTTTTGGCCCACATTTTGTCATCAAACTACTGCCACCATGCCCTTATTCCTTTACAACAGAATAATACCACCAGTTTTCACTGTATTTTTGCTATGAGGAGTTGGACCATTGGGTGAAAGTGAGAAAAAAGGAATCTTCTCTCATCGTTTATCTTTTTAAAGAAAATAATTTTTTTAATTGAGAGAAGAGAGATTTGAATTTAAATTTTTAAATAAAATATTAAATATTAATTAATAAATTAAATATTTAAAAGTAAAAAAATAACTTCTTTAATAAGAAAACATTTAGAAATCAAAATTACATTTACTTTGACTAGAGCAAAGGAACCGTCTTTCCCTTTGCACAATTTAAAACAAAAAGAAAAAAATAGGACAACTATTTTGGTTTGATTTAAAAAGTAGAATAAAAAAGAAATTTTTAAATAAATTGAAATCATTGACTAATAAATAATTTTTTATTTATTTAAAATAATTCAAACTTAATTATTGAAAAACATAATATTTTAAAAATTATCAAATTATTTATTAAAATTTAAATAAATTTTTATCGTTGATATGATGTTGATGTAAAAAATAAAAATATCATATAATCAAATTATTATATTACATTATTATTTATAATAATATATTAATATATTATGTTAATACTATATATTATAAAATAAAAAATATTATTTTGATTAGTAATAATAAGTCAACTCTCAAAAACTAGTTATAAAAGTTTATTTAATATAAATAAAAATATAAAAATTTAATTAAATATAATAAAAAAAACAATTTAATTGATTTTTTAAAATAATTTAAAATTTTTGAGTACTATGTTATTATTTATATTAACTATATATAAAAAAGTTTATATTTGATGGTATAAATTCTATATGTTATTAAACAAACAAATATTATCATTTCAATAATAAATAAATTTAAAAATTCAGAATTCTCAAAAAAAAATTAAAATAGATTTATTTTCAAAAAATTTTAAATAATTACCTTTACATGTTTATAAAATGATATACTATAATTAAATGTTAATATATATAATTAACAATATGTTAAATATAAACCGCGTACATTAATTATTAAGCTAAATTATATGATACAACTAAAACAAAAGTAGGGGCAAGTTCAAGTTTTTGTTGCAACAAGTATTTTTCGTGTTGGTTCAAAGTCACACTGTGGAAAAACTGTTTTTTAAGATCTGATCTTGTAGCCGGGGGGGCAGGGGGCTTCGAATGCGCACGCAAGCGCACGATGTCCCACTCGACACGCAAACTTAAGCACCTTTGATTACCGGTTCTCAACATTGATTTACTCCCATATTTCCCTTCTGTACGGATAACTGGAAGATATTATCTCACTACGGCGACGCTATTTTACCTACCACAGCCGGTAATTTCACCCTTTTCATTCTGACAACTACCGGTAACCCCGGTTTCATCATCCTTAACACCCCGAGTTTCTCGAGATATATAAAAGCTCTCCCCAGAAATTTCTGTGGGCACTCCTCGAGGCAGTTAACGCAATCTAGTCGGAGACCTCTTCGTTTTCTCTCACCGGCTGATCTCGTATTCGTACTTCTAGATCTCTTCCGGTGAGTATTCGCCCTTTAGTCATCGTCTTTCTTGCCCCTTTTTATTTGACAAAATCAGAGCCGTTGATGATTGATTCTCTTTTGATTAGTTGATGATGATTATTCTTTGTCATGACGGATGATGCTTGATCGTTTCTTATAAATTGTCCGATGATCATGCTGCGTTTGATGTGGTTTTCTGGTCTTGTATATATATATGTGTGTGTATTTTCTGATTCTTTAATTCCGTTCATTTCTTCAACAAATTTCTCATGTATATGTAGATGATGTATCCACATGATTCGTTTTTTAAGGATTATTTTCGTTGATTTTAGTTGGATTAATTGAATTGTTGGTTGAGATTAACTTGGCGAACTTGTTTAATGTTTATTCAGTCAGGTCAAAAAAATCTGTGGAACTGTTAATGTATATGTACTAAATCTATTGGGGTTTGGTTGAGCAGATTGACATGCTAGTGCTGGAAAAGTTTCTCGGATGCGATGGATTTTGTTTTCTTGGGTCTGCGTCTTTTGGATGTGTTTCAGTAATTTTTTGGTGTGAGGGAAATGTAATCTGGAAAATGCATTCTATTTACTTTGATTGAGGAAATTAGGTCCTTAAAATGTTCTTTTCATTTTTTTTTACGAATAAACATAGAATTGCTCTGATAATTGTTAATTTTGTTGATTTGTGGTTTTCTATTTTCTTTTCTTCTATTTCTATTTTTTAATGCACTTTTCTTGTATGGATTTAGTATTTTTTTTCCCTCTAAGCATCCTCCACATACACAAAAAAAGAAAGTCAAGAGAATTCTTTATCTTCCTTTGTCTGTTTGTTCAAGTAATTAATATGATGCATGTGAACTCTAGAAGCATTAAGAAGTCCTGAGGATGGCAGATAAGGAGGGAGAGGAGAATTCCCCACGTGGGAATGAATGGGAAGTTGTGTCCCTCACTGCATCTGCATATGCTGCTGCTCCTGGTCCTAAAGAAGTTGAAACAAAGGACGATAACAAAGGTGATTCATACAGAGAGGAGGAAGCAGAAACTTCTCGTGCTTTGTTCATGTCTGGTCACTTTGTGTTTCCCCCCAGTGAGCATGAGAATTTGCCACTGGAATCTTTGGAACCTGATAATGGTAGTGAAAATGTAGGCAAGGATGTGGTCCCTGAATTGGGTGTAGAAGAAGGTGGTAGATCTAGGACTAAGGAGGAGGAAGATTGGACTTTGAAAGGGTTGAATGTACATGACGAGTTTCCAGGGATGCAATTTTTTGATGAAAAGCATGGAACAGAGTTTGAAGAAGGCACAACACTGCAAGGGCTGGATTTGATTGACAAGGACCAGAGTTTGTATAGTGCTGCTACATTTAGTTCTTTCCATAGTGATGAAGCACTTGGTGGATCAACCACCTATGGTGAGGATACAACTGTTTCTGAACTAATTGAAGCTTCTGAGCAAGGCTTAGGTTTTCCTGCAGACATCTCTCAGTCCCCAAAGCCCTTCAAAGATGATAAATATGATGGCTCTGACCTCCCATGTGAAGCTTGGTGGAAGAGAAGAGCAGTTTCTTTGTATGCTCATGCAAAAGAGGCAAATACATTTTGGTCTATTTTCATTGCAGCAGCTGTGATGGGCATTGTGATCCTTGGGCAGCGGTGGCAACAAGAGAGGTGGCAGGCATTGCAACTCAAGTGGCAGCTCAGCCTCAACAATGAGGTATTCTGATTGCTAACTGACCCCTTAAAGTTTAACCATGACACATATTTTAACTTTTCTTTGCATCTTGTAAACCATTTACTCTGTGAAGGAAGGGGATGTTAATAACCTGTTGCATCTCATTGAGCTATCTCTTCAGAATTGAATGACAACTATTCTTTATGAAAGGGCTGGAGCTACTTTTTCGTTTGGTGTTTGATGTTGTCATGTATAGCTATGGCCAATATGTGTGTCTGGAAACACGGATGTGCATAGAGGCTTCTAAATTGATAGAATTTGGTTTAGAAAAGATGATTGTGTAACCTTTTGCAAAGGGAAAACCTATTCGTTGGTTGGAATGAGTGGGGAGAAAATAAAGAAAAATGAAGATAAGAAGAAAGAAACAAGATCATTTTGTTTGGATCTGTTGATCGCAGTGGCTTGTGTGTTAATATTAAATTTGTTGAGAAAAAATGGCCTTTGCTAACTGTTTATTCAAGAATATCAAAGTTTATGGAACTTAGAATGTATGTTTGTTGTAGTGTGCTGTCTTAGAATTTAAGTGTTCCTCTATTATCGGGATTAAGTATGCTGCTGCCTTCTTAATTCTACTTCCCCTTCTCTCTTCTCCTCTTTCTCACCTATCTGACTGTCTCTTTGGTTATTGACATTGTTTTTAGCTTTTGAATTTTGACAGAAGACAGGTCGGGTGCTGGGTTCCATATCTCGCCTTAAAGACGTGATTGTTGGTGGCCATCGCCGAGGTTCTTTTGTCAGGGGCAGCTCCCCTAGTGACAATTAAAAGTGATGATATCAGGGGCAGCTCCCCAAGTGACAGTTAAAAAGAGATGATGATGACAAATGGTAGTGAGAGAGTGAAATGGAGATTGATTTGGGTGTTAATATGTCAGTTTGCTGTTTAGTTAACTTATTTGTCCTATCTTTTATGGAAAGCTACATAGCTGCATGTTAAAATTTAATGTGATTTGTGTTTTATATTGTTGCCCATTGTTTGCGAATGAGGGATGGCAATTCTCGCATCTCCCTCACTGTTACCATTCAAATTATTATCTGCAATTTCTCTGGTTGTAACGTTGGCATCACACCCATGCTTTAGGAGGCTGTGATTGCATCAGTCATCAGGCATAAAACCCAATGAAATTTGGACTTCCATAAATTTTCAGTTTCTGCTCGTGTCTTCTTATAGATGGATGGGATGGGGATGGCTTGATGGTGCTGTCATCGTGTTGGGAAAAGAGATTTAAAAGCAAAAGTGAAGTGTGTTGACAAAACAGGCACCAACAAATGGGCACCCGTAAATTATTGTATCATTTTGTCATGGTAATTAGATTATTACTGGAAAAGCAATCGATCACGGCTGAATCAAAGTTAAACGCAGAGGATCGAGCATGAACGAATTTTGCACCAATGGAAGTTTGAAAAAGTAGGGGCAACAACTTGCTTGATTTCGAGTGATTAGGTTGTTATCTTAGAAGTAAAAATAAACGTTAAAGTATACTTGTAAGATGCTCAGATAATTTGCATTCGGTCTTTTCTTCATTATGTTTTAATAGATATTTAATCACTGTTCACATGAATGAAATATATAATTCATAAACGAGTTCTCTTATATTCAACTTACGCTTAAAATTAGTAATTAAGCATAATCAAAACTTTTAATTTTTCATTTAAAATTCATATTAGTTCAAACATTTAAAAAATAAATAAATAAAATATTTCAATTTACATCGAATAGATAAAAATACCTTGATAAGTTGACGAGTTCGAGCGTCACATGCTTTTAAGTCAACTTTTCAAAAAGGAAGGTAAGAACTACTGCCATTAGGATCTGTAAGCCCTAACCTAAGATAAGGGAAATCCAATTAAGACATTAGTAGTAATTAGAATTGGACCGAGTTTGGGTTGAAAGGAAAGGGTCCTCTAGAGCCTTAGCCCATTTTGTAGACTTTAGCCCAAACCAATGATAGGGTGTCACTGCGCTTGTTCGCACCTAATATTATCTCCTTTCTGGCGGGAAAATATTTTTCTCGCATTTTCTTTTATCTTTTTGTACCAGCAAACCCAAAACCCACCCGTTTTAGGGTTCCCAATCCTCTGATTATTTTCAGTTGGACGCTTCTCTTAGTTTTGCACATACCCTTTCAATCAGGTAATGCCCTTTTCTCTCATATATATTTTTTTAAAATTTTTTATTTTCTGAATTTCTTTCCTTGATGAGCAAGACTAAGAAATATTTTGCTCGATTTCTTTGGCTGAAAAATCGATTTCTCTGTCTTCCTAATTTTGTCTATTTGTTGTCTCAATTTAAAGTTAAATATGAATGCAGAATAAACCCTTTGATTTGTCTTTGAATTAAACTGTTATTTCTCTGGTCATTTTCTACTAGTGATTATTCTTTTCAGTTCTGATTTCTCAAAAATGATGTTTTCTTTAATGTATCAGTGAAATTGACTCTTCCAAGGCAAATTAATGGCAAAAGTGGAAAGCCCACAAGTTACAAGAAGAACAACTAGGTCTTGTTCTGCTTCCAACGATGCTATTGAATCAACAAAACCCATTGAACCCTACAAGCCAACACTCAATGACCTCGGATTCAGACAACAACCCCTTAGCTTCGAGGATCTCTTGTCTTGTCTTCCCGGTAGACGTACTCAAGTTCTTGAGCTTTTAGGCCTTTTGGGTCCCGTGAATTCCCCCATGTTTCCAATTTTGGTCTATGGAGGTCCTTCTACTGGGAAAACCAGTGTTACTCTCCAGGTATTCAGGCATCTAAACCGCCCTTTCGTCTATTCAAGTTGTGTAACATGCTATAGTCCTAGGATCTTGTTTGAGTCCATATTGAACCAGTTGTTGTTTCATAGGAAGAATTCAGGAAATAGTTATTCTAGCATAAAGCGATGTGAGAAGCCATCTGATTTTGTTAATTATCTTCGTGAAGCCTTGGAGAGCGTGATAAAAAATCTCAAGGGGAATTCAGGGAAATTGAGTTCTGAGGTGAGTGGACAGCCTAAAGGAACAATGATTTACTTGGTTTTTGATAATTTGGAGCGTGTTCGCAAATGGGATAAAAGTTCCACCATATTACCTTTTTTGTTTAATCTTTTTGACATTTTAAAGATGCCTGAGGTGGGCTTGATCTTTATTAGCAACACCTCACCTGATACATACTACTTCAATATGGGTTTTGTGGAGCCTATCCCTCTTTGTTTTCCTGACTACACAGAAGATGATCTTCGTCAAATTTTTATGGCTAATCAAACCAACCGCAAGTTGTATTCCTCCTTTTTTGGGTAAGTACCTACAGCAGAAACCAATTAACTTTTCTTTTGTGTGCTTCAACTAATGAATCTCTTACTTGTTTTATGTCAAATAGTGTTGTGCTAAGACCTTTCTGTAGAGTTACCAGACGAGTAGATGAATTGTCTGCAGTCTTTTCATCATTATTTAAAAAGTATTCTCAACCCTTAAGTGATATGGGAGTTGCACCCAATGAAGACATGAAGAGAAGGTTGTTTAGTCATCTCCAGCCGCATATTGCTTCCGCTTTGAATGAAACTTTCCAGTCTCCATCTCGGCCTCTTCTCAAAGATGAAGCCAACAGGGAGACAAAGAAAAAATGCAGTTCGAGGATGTCAACAATTCATGAAGATTTTGATAAAATAGATTTTCATATGTCTACTTCTGCGAAGTATCTTCTTATTTCAGCTTTCCTCGCTTCAAGAAACCCAGCTACTCTTGATGCATCATTGTTTGATTCAACTGGGGTTTCGGATAGTCGCAAACGAAAGAGGAAGTAAGCACACCAATAACCTAATTTTCAATTTCTCTTATAGGAATAGACTTCTAGGCCTTGGAACTACAAATGACTGTATCAGGGTTCATAAGGGCCCCCTTATTCTTCTGGAGTGGTTTTCTGAACTCTTCTATGGGACATGATTTTCTGTTTTGTAATTACCTAATCTATGGAAAGTACTGCACTTGTGCTTGAAGCAGCAACTTTAGTTACAGGCTAAGAGCCTGCTATTACCTTATTCTGGAATATATGGCATAATATGATATGATTTTGTCATGTTTACATGCTTCGAGTTCTCTATAGAATTTTCCTTCTCTTAATGCTGAACTGGTTCTTATCTATTAGTGAATGGAAATTATCTTTATAATCTGATGATTGAAAACTGTTTTCTGCTGCAAATTTCTTGCTTAGATACTCCATGCTGTCTAAAAACTAATAGTCTCATCTTACTTTCTGTATGCATCTTGCTTTACTTATTAATATCAAGTAAATCTTGATCAATTACTTTTTCTGTAGGCCCTCTGAAAAATCATTGGAGCAAAAGGAAATGACAGAGCTGGAATTGCTTATGAAAGGTCCTGGAACTTTTCCATTGGAGAGGTTATTAGCCATATTTCAGTGTATAACGTCTTTAGCAGAAGATTCGCTTGATGAAGAAGAAAGTCATGAACTAACAATTGAAGGAGGGAGCAGTGGACTCATGTCTGATGTTCTCTTGCAACTTTCCAGTCTATGCAATGCTAATTTTATCATTAAAGGAGGAAGCTGTCCATTAGATGGGTCAACTCGATATCGTACTGCAGTGAGTGAAGATTTAGCTTTGAAGGTAATCTCTTCAACATCTGTCCAGTAGTTTGACAAGAATTTCTGTTCTAGGTCGTTATGATCTTAGCTTCCTTTACAGATGTGGTTATGCTGTCTGAGTACGTATATATCTTATTCCATTCCAAATGTATACAGGTGGCAAGGAGCCTTAAGTTCCCTTTGTCAAAATACTTGTACAGGAGATGATCTGTGATGCAAAGAGATGCTGTCATCGTCTTTTTACTTTCAATGTCAACTGATTTCAGAGGGGTATCCGGAAATATGAAGGTGATATAATTCTCGTTTAACATGGTTCCATTGCGAAAGCCTGTGTCAATATCAAGTTTTGTTAACATAACGTCAGTGGCACTGAAGTAATGAATTGGCAATTGTAGTCCATCACAGTCTGAACAGTCTAATTGTATCTTGCTATTAGTTTTCTGTATTACCTTCATGAAATTTATTTACATTCGGGGATTTAACATACAGATATTCTCTTACGATTTTTCTGAATTCTGTTTCCCTTGAATTCATAGTTGCAAAAACTGCTGAAAACAAAAGAAGTCCCTCATTTTGTTGTTTCTAACTTTGCATACCTTGTGGTTGTGGTTATGGTTTTCTTCACATTCCATCTTACATGCAAATATGGGCTGCCGACACCCAATTTTTCCATCTACCAATATCTACAGGGATTCCATTCACGTGCTGATGTTACACCAGAAATTACTAAACAGAGTACGCAACATCAAACAAGACAACACGAAATTAAATGGTTTGTAGGATGGCCTAAATCAGTATTAGAAGTCATAGTCTCATAGCCACGTTTGAACTTGAAAACAAAGCTTGCTTACATTTGATGGAACACTTACTTTCTTATATGAAACCAAATGTTCAATAATTTTGTTGTGTCCCCCATATTTGGGAACCTATTGCCTGCTGAAAGCAATATGGGAAAAGTATGAATTTCAAATAATTATGTTATCCCCATTGTTTTCGTGATTCCTAAGACATTTTATATTCAGAAATATGATTTTTTGGGGGTCAAATAAACAATTTCTCAGACGACAGAATTAGGATCAGCAGGCTGACCAGTTTCTGTTGTTCAAGATAACTAATTAAACCCAACTATATGTGGCCGTCCACCTAAATTTACCCAACCCTTAACACGTCCTTAATTATTTTTTTCTATCTGTTTTCCAATGGAAGCCATAGTCTTCTTCTTATATATTGAAATGTTGAATATTACGGTTGAGAGCAGCCCACCTGTTTCTGATTCTCATTCTATTAACATTTTAACTAAGAACAAGATTAAAAAAAAACCAATAAACGTCACCTATACTCTTTTCTATGTTAATTTTTCTTGTGTAACATCTTATGTTTTCTTAATTAATATATCGTAGATATATATATATAATATTTATGATTGATCTAAAATTTTACTATTAGTCTAATTTGTTATCAACTTATCTCACTTTTTTCCCTCCAATCCATCGTTTCAGGAGGGTTAAAAGTGAAAGTACAAGTTTTAATCTTTTGAGACATCCCGTCAAACACTCTTATCCTTATTTCTCTATATATATTTTTTAATTTAATGACAACGTAATGACAGAGATAGAAGTGTCAGTCATTCAATAAATTCCACCTACAAAACACATTCCCACTTTTCTTATTTGCCCCAATTTCTTAAATTATGCCCACAGAAATGAAAAATTGAATGAACGCGTTCAATCTTTGCTTGGCCCCTCCCATGGCGTACGTTCAATTAACCCCTCAAAACCATCAACTTGCAGAATACGTTGTTAATACTCGTTCTCTTTTGCCTTGATTTCATATTGTATGACTGTAATGCGCATGCACCCACCCATCCGCCTGGTCCCTTCTTCCATTTATACACGTTATCTCTCCTTTTTTCTTTTTTTTTCATTTTTCTTTCAGTCTTGCAGCATGAGCCAGTTGAGTGTGAGGATGGGTCAACGCTTCTGCACGAACCGTTTACATTTATCATTCCCATGGTTCCTTCTCTGAAACTTTACGTGACAGAAACTATGGTTTGACTTACACAAGAAAACAATGGTCTACTTCTCTTTCTTTCTTGCTATGTCCTCACCCCCCACACCAAACTGGAGAAGCAAATTATTCCTATCAAGTTTTCTTGCAAGGCACCATATGAATTTTATTATCTTTAGAAAATGGTGGTTCGATTAATACTCATAATATAATTTTTAGGTCATTTCTTTCCTAGAAAATTCTCGTTTTATCAATGTTTTCATAAGTAATGAAGAGATGTTTGTTATATTTATATACTTAATACAGTCTTAGTTTAACAGGTGTGATATTTCTTTTATTATCATTTCAATATTTTTTTTAAAACATCATAAATCAATAAACAAGAACCTGTATAAATACACTTCAATACTTCCTGTTATGGGTAAAGTTATAAATTTATCACATAATATGAATCAATATGAATCAATATTAAAAAAATCCATAAAATAATAGAATAATGAGGACAACGTATGCTATAATATCATGCTAAGTTTTTTTAGAATGAAAATCGAACCTAAAACAAATTGAAAGATTTTTCTTATATTTATATGTTCATGATATTGATAATAATTTAAATGATGTAGACTTTTTTTTTATTATCAATAACTAAATCCTCTTTCCTTTTTCCTTGATCATCAGGAAGAGCCACAATTATCCCAAAATAACAAGTTACTCTTATCTAGCTTGCCATAATAATATGTCCTGGAGCACTACTTAATTAGTACACCCATTGCAAGGCATAATCAAAAGTGATAAAATACCAAGATTTAGCATATGATTTTGTACGGATTTTTAAATCTTGACACAATGATGCTGGTCTGAGGTTTCCAAACCCAGATGCACAGACCAAAAAAGCGACATCCAGGGTGGGAAATGAAACCTGCTACAAGGCAGTACATTGAAGGTCTCTTTTACATACTGTCCTATTCTTTACTAAAAAAAGGGCAAAGAGAAAACACAATCAAGAAGATTCAAAACAAAAACAAAACAACTAGAAATCAGCAATTCTTATTATAATATTATGCCCGCTGATTGCCGAAAGCTGAAGTCACCTGTGGCACCGTTCAGGTGTGTGTGCTTTTATGCATTTGACTTTGTGTTTTTTTTTTTAATTTTTTCATTTATCAGGATATATAAAGCATAGAAGCAAAGAATGGGCACACCTTTTTTTAACATAGTAAGCATTTAAAGAGAGAGAGAGGGGGTCAAAGCATCGAGTCTCAATAATTTGTTTGTTTTTGTTTTTTTCCTTTTTACTGAATCTTGCAGGGAAATTGGATAGAGATATAAGGTAGAGGGAAGAATCAAGAAGAATGTTAAAAATAAGGCATGCAGGTGGCCGCGGGCGAAGGGGGGGGTGGGGAGCGTTATAAATTGTTGGTGGGTTGCTCACCCAACCCTAACCAAAGACCACATGACTGAACCCATCTGCATTTAAGGACCCCTCCCCCTCATTTTTCCCAAATATTTTTATTATAAAACCCATAGCTTTCTTCATTTATATATATGAATTACAAACAAGAAACAGCAACAACAACAACAACAACAGCCCCTTGCTATTAACCCTAGAGGGACCAAAACACAGACTGTGTTTATCTTTTGTGTGACCCATTGATTCTATGCTTTTCTTACCTTCATTGTTGTCTTGTGTTTTTCTTTCTCTTTTTTATTTTGTAGTCTCCTGTCTTAGTTCCACAACTAAACTCATTTAATTCTCTTCATTCAATGCTTGAATTAAAGACCCTCTTTCCTTCCCTGCAAAATTAGGTGGAGATCGTAGATGAAAGAGAAGAGAGAAGAGAGATGAAAAGGGGAGAGTTAATTTTTGAGGTTTTGCTACTGTAAGTATCTTACAAAAAACAAGGGTTATTGCTTTTTTAACTTATTTTTTCACCTTTAAAATGATTCAACGACCTCTCAGTGCATTTATGGTGGTGCATCTGATGGTTAGACAGTAAAGAGAGCAAAAAAAAAGGGAGAAAAAATGGTGCAATTCAAGGGAACAGACTGTCCTTAATAATTGCCTCTCATTATAATTTCACCTATAAATCCACTTTCTCTACTCCATTTTGTACTATCACTCTCCTCTTTTTCTTCATCTTCTTTCTTTTCTGCTTCATTTCCTTCTCTCTTTCAGATCTTCCTTCACCCTCCATTTTTCTTTCCTCATGAAGCAGCTTTCACGTACGTAAAAGAAAAACAAACCAAAACCCTCATTCTGTTTGCATGTCAAAGTTATTCATTCAGGGGTTCAAGATTTCACGTTTCTCTCTCTTTGGAATACTACCCATTTTTGAGGTGAGTTCTTCTTTGCAACTTTCCTGAGAAAAAGAAAGTTTTTTTTTTCTCGAGAAAATATTATTAGTAAGGAGTAGGAGCGGGTTTGTTTTGTTGTAGTTACACCATGGATGTATCTACCGCTTTGCTTCTTTTGGCTGCTATCACTGCTTACCTACTGTGGTTCACGTTCATCTCACGGTCGCTACGTGGTCCACGTGTATGGCCTCTTTTGGGCAGTCTACCAGGCTTAATCGAGAACTGTGATCGCATGCATGACTGGATCTCCGACAACCTCCGCGCGTGCGGCGGCACCTACCAGACCTGCATTTGTGCCATCCCCTTCTTGGCCCGGAAGCAAGGTCTCGTGACGGTCACGTGCGATCCCAGGAATTTGGAGCACATCCTCAAGACCCGTTTCGACAATTACCCGAAAGGTCCCACGTGGCAAGCCGTGTTCCATGATCTGCTTGGTCAAGGCATCTTCAACTCCGATGGTGACACGTGGCGGTTCCAAAGGAAGACTGCCGCTCTGGAATTCACCACCAGGACTCTTCGCCAAGCCATGGCTCGATGGGTCACTAGAGCCATCAAGCTCCGATTCTGCCCCATTCTTGAGAAAGCTCAAAATAAAGCCGAGCCGGTTGATCTACAAGATGTATTGCTTCGGCTCACCTTTGATAACATTTGCGGGTTAGCTTTTGGGAAGGACCCACAGACATGCGCCCAAGGGTTACCCGAAAACGGCTTCGCTTCAGCTTTTGATCGAGCCACGGAAGCCTCTCTTCAAAGGTTTATTTTGCCGGAGGTTTTATGGAAGCTAAAGAAATGGCTTCGGCTTGGGATGGAAGTGAGCTTGAGCCGAAGCCTTGTCCACATCGACGAGTATTTATCCGATGTCATCAACGCACGTAAGCAAGAGTTGCTGAATCAGCAAAAGGACGGGAACCCACACGATGATTTGCTCTCAAGATTCATGAAGAAAAAAGAGTCCTACTCAGACGAGTTTCTCCAACACGTGGCACTTAATTTCATCCTAGCTGGACGTGACACGTCATCAGTTGCCCTCAGCTGGTTCTTCTGGCTCGTCACTCAACACCCAACAGTTGAAGATAAAATCCTACGTGAAATCTGCATTGTCCTAATTGAGACACGTGGCGTTGACACGTCAGCGTGGCTCAATGAGCCCTTGGGGTTCGAAGAAGTTGACCGATTGATATATTTGAAGGCAGCTTTATCAGAAACCTTAAGGCTATACCCTTCAGTGCCGGAGGATTCAAAGCACGTGGTGGCTGATGACGTGTTGCCTGACGGGACATTTGTTCCAGCAGGGTCGTCGGTGACGTATTCAATATATTCAGTGGGGAGAATGAGGTCAACTTGGGGCGACGATTGCCTCGAGTTTCGTCCAGAGAGGTGGTTATCAGCTGACGGAAATAATTTATCATGCATGACTCTTATAAGTTCGTCTCATTCAATGCTGGACCAAGGATATGTTTAGGGAAGGATTTGGCTTATCTTCAAATGAAGTCGGTGGCGGCAGCGGCGTTGCTGAGACATAAGCTGACCTTGGTGCCCGGGCATACGGTGGAGCAGAAGATGTCGCTGACTTTGTTTATGAAATATGGGCTTAAAGTAAACGTGGCAAGGAGAGATTTGGGAGCGACTGTTGAGAAGATAATTAGTGAAGAGAGGGAAGGAGAGGTGATTGGTAAATGCAATGGTAATTGTGATCGTTTAGTGTGAGAGAGATCAGAGGTGGATGGGGAGGGGGCAGGTGTTGGTGAATTGGGTGAGGTTATTTAAGGCGTGGTGGTGAAAATTAAACTCACATGGAAGGCGCGTGTGTTGGTGGGGTGGGGGTGGGGGTGGCAAAGTTCTTTTGGCTATTTTTCCTTTCAATTTCGTGTGGGGAAGAGGGGTTGCGAGTGGGGCCATTGAGGTTAAGTTGTTCACGGATATTGAGCAAAGGCTTAGGGGGAGTGGAAGGACAAGTTGATTTCACAGAGGAAGGTTCAATTCATAAGCGTGGCATAACTTTTTAAGCTTCATCATTCATATAAGAGAGAGAGGGAGAGGGAGAGAGAGAAAGAGAGGTATTTATTTACAATTTAAATTACTCTTGCTTTTCTTGTAGGGAACCCTTTGAAATTATTCTATAAAATTCTTTAATCTTCTTGTTTGTTTATATGTCTAAAGTTGGTTTTGTTAGTATTTTATGTTTGATATTTTTTGTAAGCTTGCTGTGATATCTTGATTCAATGAAGTAAGTTAATTTGCTTTGAATAACATTATTGAGTGATGGATATATACTTGGATCAGATAGATGATCTTATTCGTGTTCTTTAAGCTAAGATTGGATCGTCAGTCTTTTCCTTATCTCTATTGTCTTCTCTTTCCCTCTTCATGGCTGCCTGTTGTCAATGCTGTAATGGTAACGAGCACTACTGGAGGAGAAAAGGAAATAAATCCTTGAAGGAATCTGGAAATCCTCCAATGGTCGACAAATTCCACACAAATGTAAACATCGAATAGTAAGTATACTGGCGTTTTTAGTAACCATAGCCAATGGATAAGATTTGCTGTTGGTACGTCTTTTGCAATTTGGTCATTAATCTTTATCTGTGTTTCCTTTTCTTTTTAAATGGGCCGGGAAAGGCCCATATCTTGACTAGAAACCTGGCCCAGAAACTTCCCCACGAAAAGTACGGGTGCTAAATGAAAAGCAGCATGATGAATGCTTGCACCCAACCTCTAATTATGGCGTCAATGATCCCACGACGGGTTGCAAAAAATGAGTGCCACCGCGATGAGGACCACCTGGTCTGTTGAGGTATGCTGCGGATCTAGCGACGGTGATGTATTAGGACCATCAGTAAAATTGGTTTTACTTGGAAGTTCAAATTAAGCACAGGCATCAACAAGTATGCATTAGAACACACTTGAAGTTGGTGTAGGGTGTCTGGCTTTTAAAGCATTTTATGGGCAAAGAACATATTTCATGGGTTGGTACAAAACATTTACCCGTAAAGCCATACATTAGAAACACATAAATTAAATGAAAGAAGGAACTTTGTGCTGAAAACATTTTTCCAGCAAGGTTAAATGTTTGTTTTCAAGTACAAGAGGGCCTTACAAGTTGGTAAAATGCTTTTGATCATTGGCACTTAGCTGCTTTCAGCTGGGTTTCTTTCACCCGCCCTGGTACGCAAGCTCCCTTCTATTACTTCGAAAGTTGTTCTCTTTTGAGTTATGTAGGCTTCCAATCTTCCTAGTTCCTGCTATAGAATTTTCCTAGTCGAGAACCTTCTCTCCAGTTGAAAATAAGTTCCAGACTAATGTGCCTATGATGTATAATGCGACTGACACCTTAAACACATCGTCCCAGGAGCCTGCAGAGATGGAATTTCCAGATGTGAATAATAAACTTGGTAGGTAGAATTCAAGAAGAAGATCAATGTCAAGGTAAGCAGAGTGTAGATTCAGTCATACCTCGTTGGAGTATGTAGCCAGTTGCAGCTGTACCAAAAACACCAGCCAGCACTCCGGCTGTGTTTGACAGTCCTAATAGAACTCCCTGTGATTGACATTACCAGCTTACTTTCAGAAGAAGGAAAAATACCATTTTTGACAAGAAACATTGTTGATTAAGGGAATTATTTGAAGTAAACTGCACAGAGAATTTCTCTTAAGAAAAAGCCTCAAAAATTATAGATATATTGTGGGTGATCAAAAGTTCACTTATCAATCTGTAGATATGAATTCTAGCTCTCAACAGACACATCAAACTGATTTTACCAATGATTGGACTAAGTGTTTGGAAAGATTGATTCCATCTTGCACATTTGTACAAAAATAGTAATATATCACAGCACAGTAGGAGCAGAAATGTACTGAGAGTTGTAATCACAAGTGAAATCTCCTGCGGTTATGCATTTGTCTATACTGTATTAAAAAAGGATAGCCAAAAGACTCACAGCATAGCGTGGACCAATGTCTTGGTGATTGGAATAAAGACCAGATTGAGAGAATGCATCAGATCCCTGGCAAGGAGAAAGCATTTATGGATCAATATCTGTGCCAGATTTGACAAATTAGTTAGTTGCATCTGATTTTGCAGCCTCAATAGAAACCAAACACCCAAGATAGGTGTTCATTTTTTATTTTGGCCAGTCTAAGACAGGAGTTCATCATAAATAAACAAGCGTTTACTGCACATACTGGTTTTCATATATACTAAAGGGAAGTTTAGGAAGATAAGAAGCTCATACTTGGGGAGGAATAAAAAATGAATATGACATTGCAGCAATTCGAAGCTCAGATGAAACTGAAATCAAACAAGATGATACCTGACTACATGCCATGCACAGCACTGCCATAGCAGGTGTCCTGACATGGCTTAGCTGTGTAAGGAAGAAGGCCGGTCCCAGAAAACCTATCGATTGCATGATCTGCAAAATTAAGAGGTTTCAGATAGGATTACATAAAACGAGTATGAACTGAAATAGTGTCACCATCATTTGACCAACATTTTGACTGAACTACTAAATGGCTTTTTATCTCATCTTAGAAGGTCAGTTTTAAATGCCATGTAAGACTTCCACTGTATATATAAAAATGAAGACTCATACGTGTACTTTTGTTCACTCAATAAGTCAAGTTAACTTTGCAATTTATAAAATTTCTAATATTGTAAAAGTTGTTTGTGATACCATGAGGGAATGATGCAAACAGAAAAGTCGACCTGGGGATTGAATTTAAATAAGAATCAGAAGTGTTCTAACCAGAGTATTAATCAAATACCAGAAGTTTTACTCTCAAGCATTTAATAACCCCTTGATATATATTAAATTTTTAAGAATCAAAGAAGAATTCATCCTTGCCTTACGAACTGCTGTTATGGAAAGACCTTTACTCACGAGTGTGTCTGCAATCCATCCGCCTATATTTGCAAAGGCAGCCATAGTCAACCATGGCAATACACAGAAGAGTCCAGATTCAGTGAGGTTGAACTTCAAAACCTGTGAGAACCACCAAGACATTGGCCATCAAATACAAAGGAGAAGGCAAAATCGAGATTTGAATATAATTTTCCGGCTGCTGGTTTAGATTTGTAAACTGTTAAAGGTAAGATAGCTAAGCAACAGCAGCAAGAAATTCAGCAATCCATGATCACTAAATCTATTCCCCAGCACTACTGGCATGAACTTCTGGCAGGCTAAGGAGTATGCCATGGGAAAGGCATGGGCTGCAACATCAGTGCAGTCTGTAAAGGAGCAGGGAGCCATATACACTGCATGCCTCATAGCCAACAAGGCAATATGTGCTACCTGTCAATTATCTTCACCTTAATACAAGTCAGAGCCAACATCTGATATTCAGATAAAAGAAGACTGCCAATGCAAGTGAAAATGTGAAGCATATGAAACACATGCCGTGTAGTCGATGTCAACTGTAAAGTTGTGGTTTTATTATAGATAGAACAAAATTACATTTGTCAGCAAACATTGTTTATGGAACCACGTCTTAATACCTGATTGTAGTAGGTAGGCATCCATGTCAAGAGAATAAAAGTTCCCCAATTATGGCAGAAGTGAGAGATTATGAGAGCCCAAACAGGGGCTTTTGATAATATTAATCGCCATGGAATGACCTTAACAGGTTCTTTTGATATGCTCCCTCCCATGATTAGTTTCTTTTCTTCTTTACTAAGCTCAGGGTCTTCATTTGGGGAGCTATATGCCTGGGAAGCAGCCATAAAAGAGGCAGAAAAGGTTTTCAAAGTGAGTACCAAGAAATGACATCCAAATGCAATCATTCACATTTTTAACACGTAGAATATCCAAAACCAGAATCTTCTATATGTGTTTAGAGTGTGTGATCCATTGAAAAAAGTAAGATTGGCAGTCAAAAACCTTTTAGTTATGCCTTTCGAAAAAAAAAACTTTTCATTAATAATGAGAGCAGAAACGGCTGGCCTTCTAACATGTCCTGTAAGACCATGGTATGAACAGGATCAACTTGTTATGACCTCATATCTAGCATCAGTCAGCCTAATCACTTACAAATGGTGAGTTCCAGAGGAGAGGTTTTTATGTTGATTCTTGTGATATATTTTGAATAAAAGTTAAAGGAATCAGCAACTCACTTTTCTCAGCCATAATGCAAACCAGATACTTCCAAGGGAGCCAAATGAGTAGAATACAGATGGCCAACCAAACTTGTGGATTAAGATAGGAGAGAAAGCCAGCCCAGCAACAGAACCGAGATACATTCCACTGTATACAAGTGCAAGTGATCTGCTTCTCTCTGACACTGGAATCCACTTAGAAAGTAGGTTGTTCATTGCTGGCATAGCCACACCCTGAAAAGAAAATAACTCAAATGGATGGGAATCCCTTGCACTCTCTTTCTAGAAAGGCCGGAACTGTTGGCTAAGTGAATAAGGAAGCATAGACAGAGGCCAGATCAAATTTGCATTAATATTATTATAACAAATTGAAAATTATACAGAGTTACATAGTATAAAACTCTAATCCATTAAAGTTAATGAGAATGTTTATTTTTCTTTTTCTGTCATTCTTTCATCTACTTCCAACTCATAAGTTACTGTCATTAAAAAAATTCTACCTTCCTAGTGTGTTTGTACAGAAAAAAAGAAGGCTGCTTCAGTGAGCATGTGATTATTGAAGGTAGTTAGGTAGTTAACCACAGGCCAGTACAGGATAAAAATTAAAAACCAACAAGCAAATCAGATCCAACCTCGCCAATTCCCATAAAAGCTCGCATTGTAAGCAAAAATGGAAGTCCAATTCTTGCAGCAATAGGTGTCAAAATT